AAAGAAAGAAAGAAAGAAAGAAAGAAAGAAAGAAAGAAAGAAAGAAAAAAGAAAGGAAGGAAGGAAGAAAGAGAAAAAAAGAAAGAGAAAGAAAGAAAGAAAGAAAAAGAAAGAAAGAAAGAAAGAAAGAAAGAAAGAAAGAAAGAAAGAAAGAAAGAAAGAAAGAAAAGAAAAGAAAAGAAAAGAAAAGAAAAGAAAAAGAAAAAGAGAGAAAGAGGAAGGAAGGAAGGAAGGAAGGAAGGAGCCAAAGCTGCTGAGGCCAAGGGTGCAAGCAGTGGCCCTGCCTGACCAGGGGCCAGAATCAGCACCCACAGGCCCTCCCCGTCCTCCTCTAGATGTCAGCCAACAGGATCCTTTAGTATCCATTGACCTAATCAGACAAGCTCCACGCTGTATACCCACCCTCACCAGAAGCCATTTAGATTCCAAAGGCATTTGGATTTTAATTGGCTTCGGCATGAGATGGAGCTGACCTTTCAGCAAGAAAAAGGAGACCACTGTCCTCTCAAGGACTTCCTGGCCCACCACCTAGCTGGGGGTAAACCTCCTGCCTTCCTCTGCCTACCCAGTTTCAGATCTCATTTCCCTCTGCCCTCTGTTTTGTTCTGGCCCCTAGAGAAATGGGTAGCCCTGGGAGCCTCTTTTCTGTCCCCCATGGCCAGTGCCCAAGCCTAGAGGGTCACCAGCCTAGCCAGGCCAATGAGTTTGTGGATAAATCACTTGCCTCAGAAGTTCTAGATCAACCTAAAATCACACCCAAAATTGGGAAGAGTATTACACAGTGGTCAGGGGAGTAGGCTATGTTGTCGAACTGCCACATCTTACTAGCTGTGTGAGCGTATCCAACCACTATATAAACCACTTCAGTAAATAAGACACCTTTGCTGGTCATACAAAGCAATACCAAGAGCATTTCCTTCCTCCAAGGAATTTTGTGATGATTCCATGTAAAATCTCTCAGAATAATACCTGGAATAGAGTAAGAACTGATGAATCTTAGCTATTATTAGTTTTGTTATCTCTTACCTCTTTACTTGCTGACTGAAATTCTCTCAACTAGAGACAAAGCCTTATACTCTACAGTTAAGGATAAGGCATCACCGCCAATGCCTCTGAGGTCACAGGGTGGCTTATATTTATACCAAAGTGTTAGGTGATACCAGAGATTAAGAGATAGTATCGCCTTTCCCTTGGCTATTCAGGCAAATAAAACATCTGCCTGCCCCAGGGCTCCAGAACCAGAACCTCTCCCTCGATCCTGTGGCCCCCTCAACCCTATGAAGACAAGTGGGCCATCCCAGACTGTGCTGGAATCTGGTCGGCTACTTCTCCTCCTGCCCACTAGGCTTCCAGAAGCCTCCTGTTGCCAGTTGCAGGTGCAGCCACTTTCCCTCGACTCCCCTGGTCCTCACTCTTCTTGCATATGGATGCCAAAATC